ACGAATGAAATAGTTGATTACATTTTACCATGTCTACGAATTTATGTTTTTTATTTATTTAAATTACATTGTTCCGAAAATAAAAACAATTGATTACAGCTTACAACAATTCCCCTTGCCGACCCTCAGATCAGGATTCTAATTTGTCATATTTTGAATCCAAATACGATGAAAATGCTCTTACTAGTCAATAATAGCATTTGTTAATACAAGTAAAGGTGTAGATGTATGAACAGGTACAAACTAAAAAAACATTTAAAAAAATAAAAACTTAAACACAAAACACCCTGTTTCAAGTAAAAACCTGTAGGGAAGTAGACTTTTTCAAAATTGGCTGAAGAACGACTCTACATAGTAGTAAGCTGTTCGTTCCATACATTGCTAAATTAATCTAACATTGCCAATACAGTGATTGACAAGGGATTTTAATTCAGTACAGTGGCATTAAGAAGACTTAAGATGTGATTTCAATCAAGCCAGTTATTGGGGTGCTCTTTTTACATGGGAGGTCACTGTCTTCAAGTTGAAGCAACAGGTGGTACCGGTAAAATAATTTAGTAATGGTCAATATAGTCATATAGATATTACATATCATTACTTGTACTGGGGTATTCGTGAGTTAGTATTGGATGGACGATGTCTACATGTTTGTGTTTACACAGCATTCCGCGCAATTACATGGCCTTTTTTGTTTCTGGATGTTTTTGATAATTCAGTTTCTGAATCTTGTGAACCCCCCAAAAAATTAGTGTGAATAATAATTTTGTTGAGAGCATATGGCTAAAAAATAACATGGGGTACTTTCCTTCAAATTAATTCTACTTACTGATAAGTTTACGCCATTACGCCATTGAACATTGAACCATTTCGGGAGTGCAATGAAACTATTCAGACTTTGAGTATCGGTATACAACTAACTAAGCTCTTCGGAACTTGTAATAAGACTGCACTGTAGTCTCCAAATCAGACAAAAGAAAACATCAATCAGGAAGTCAATTATAAGTTGACAGGTATAAGTACAAAAAGTTACCTAGCAACTTACACTTTTTTAATTAAAACAGAATTGGTAATTAAATATTCAGATTCTCGACCGCCCTCCCCTGAATGTTACTGCCTCTTTAAATGGAACCATGTACGTCCTTGTAAATAATGTAGTGTCGAACATTTTGTTTCTTTTGTTCCATTGCTTTTGTAATAACTGTAACTGTCCAGCGCTCGTGAAATGTAATACCGACCGAATGTTATTACTTACTAGGGTTCTACTTAACGTGTTTGTGCAAAGTTCAATCAAAGTGCAATTCGTCTCCAGTTTCTGTTGGCGACTGTCATGCTTGCTACTATACCTTAGATCACGCCTATTCATCGTAACTACGCATGAAATAGTGGGTATAGTTTCTTCACTACAAACACTCGTAGCTAAGTTACCTGTCCGTTTACGTTCCTGGCATGTCGGTTGTTATATACGCTTGTTAAAATGATTACAAGTTGCTAGTGGTATTTTAGCTTTGGAGTCTATCTGCGACTACACTGTCTGTGGCGACATTGAGAGTTAACGAAGGATTATTGAAGTTCGTACCAGTGTTCAAGCGAATCAAACTTTCTGTGTTCTGATTTGTTGATATGTCTGAAACTGACAGTCGTCCTAGGACAGCAGCCTCCATTGAGAGTGATATATTAGTCGTAGATAGTCGACCTGTCAGTCGGCAGCTCTCTTACAATTCACCGCTTCTAACATCTACTCCAGATTCTGGTAAGAGTTGTATACATAATTGTACACAAGGTCTACCAATCTCAGTAAATTTGGATAAGGAATTATTGTATATGATCCGAGTATATGGTCTGTGCTCTGAATGCTTTTAGTTTATGCGTTTTCATATGATTACATTGATTTGGTATAATTTTTCTGGCTGGCAGGATGTATTACTGATAGTTTAACCCTTTGAGCATCTTAATTTTTTTCCCTGCTCAAAATTTGGTAGATTTGTTTACATTTTCTGTAATTTTCACTGAATTCAATCTTAATTGTGAACCAAACAAACAAAATGTGACCATACTTTAGGTATTCATCAAAAAATGTGAAAATTTCGCAACATTAATATAAATAGAACTATTTTGTTGTCTGATTTGACCTTTGTACTCAAAGGGTTCATCAAGCAGTTGTGATGAGTTACTTCACCCATGTCTACTCAATGAATTTAAGCATAGTTACACATATGTGTGCCATGCAACAAATAAATTTAGGATTGATATCTTTTAAATTAAATGTAGAAACTAAAAAGACAGTGTTCACTTGACTTGATTGCTTTGCGTTATTTTTCCTTCTTTAAGTCTAATACAAATATTAGTTTTTCAGCTTCACCTCTCTTCTTAGTCCACCTGGCATTTAAATCGAGAGGGTCGTCACCTGCGCACACGCGGGAATTGAGTCCCAAGCGACGATAACAACACATGCTAAAAACGCAAAAGCTCATAGGTAGACGCTTGTTTGTAAACAATGACACGCTATGGCCATTTGACGCATGCGCAGGTGACGACTCCTCCACTTTAATTTATGTATCGTATTCACACTATAAGAAGTTTGCATTTCAACAAACATTATAACACAGGGGTCGTTGACCTTCTTTTTGAGAAAATTGATATACAGGCTTCATTCATTCATTCATTCATTCATTCATTTATTTTGTCTGTTTGTTCTTTCATTAATTCATTTTAATCATTCATACATCCAATCATAAAACATGCCCACCCATCCATCTATCT